CATTTTATGTTGTTTTTATGCTTTTATTACAGTAATGGCACGATAAGGTTAACTATTCAGTCACTACTTAAAATACACATGTATGTACATATATACATTACATGTATATTTAAAACGATCAGAGGTATTTCAAGTACCATTCACCAATCTCTTAAAGTATGTTGTTTATTAACTGGGTCTCTTGGAAAGATATATATTCAACCGTGTATTTGTCCTCATTATTTTTCATTCTCTTTACCTAATCTGTTTTTTGTAAATTCAATTTTTAATTAAGTATACATCCAAATGGATACATGTTATATACATGACGTATAAATATCCTCTCCCAAAGAACCACCAGTCTAAAAATTTGTGTTTTTCATTCTCTTCTTTTATGTTTTAATTTTACCATGTCTGGATGGATCGCTCGATGTACATGACCCTTGAAAACAGGTTTGAACGTGGACAGAGATTTTTTTATCAATACAGTATAGAACTGTAGTTGTATTTTCTCTTATGATTTTCTTAACATCTTCTTTTCTCTTGCATACTTTATTGTAAGAATACAGTATAGAGGGGGCTCCTGAGTGGTGCAGCTTGACTCTTGATTTCAGCGCAGGTCAGGATCTCATGGTTCATTTAGAGCCCACATCGGGTTCCATGGAGCCTGTTGGATTCTCTTGTCTTCCTCACTCTCTGCCCCTCCCCTATTCATGCGCTCTCTCTCAAACATTAATAAACATTAAAAAATAACACATTACATATAATATATAAAATATGCATTAATTGAATGTTTATGTTGTCGGTAAGGCTTCTCATCAAGGTAGGCTATTAGTAATTTTGGGGGGAGTCAGTTACATGCAGATTTTTTTTACTGCAGGGGGTTGGTGCCCCTAACCCCTGCACTGTTCAGAGGTCAACTGTGTAGTCTTGCTTCCTATTCAACTTTCTATAGAAGAAATCTATTGTAGGTCTCTCCTGTAACTTGATTTTTCACTCAACAGATGCCAGACACTTGTCCATGCTGCTAGGGATAGCTGTGCTGTGATCCATTATTTGCACCACAGAGCAGCCTAATATATGAAGATATCACAACTCCTAATCTATCTTTCATGTTTTCCTCCTGATAATTCCACCCTCTCTCAAATTCCTAATTATGCTAGAATTTCAGATATATTCTTTTAAAGTATATAAAAAAAAAAGTATGTGTTTACAAGAACAATTTTTCTCAGCCAGTCCCTTCCAAGGTGCATTTACTTCCGCATCTGTTTAAACCAGTTGTACAATTACATAATTTACAGATATAGATATGAGCCAATTAAATATGAATGCAAATGGAAAGTTGTTTTTATGAAAACATTTCCCAAGTTTCCCAAGTTGAATACTTGGGAAAGATGTAATGAAAGTAGCGAAGTCAAATTGTTGAACTAAGTGTGGAAAAGACTATTGAAAAGAATAGGTTAAAAAAATTTCAGCCCTCAGATTTCCTTGCAGGTGTTTTGAAATTCTCATCACACTTTAAAGAAACCAAAACAATATATTTTGAGTGGTCCAAGACTATCAGGGGCCATGTAAAGAAAAGGCTGTGGTCCTACATCAAAAGATTGGCTAAAATATATATACTTAGAGTTCTTAAAAGAAAGTTTTTTTTACTTTTATGATTTCCAGATTTAAAAGATTTTTTTTCCTAAATGGATCAATTATCACAGTGAATCACTTCAGTAATGGATTCTACTCAATTTACTTCTACTTTTATTTCCACAAAGGATTTAGGCAACTTATAAAGAAATAAACACTAATAAATAAATTTAAAATAAGGAAATTGAAGCAATAGGTAAATTGGGCAGAAAAAATCCAACTGCACTAATATCAAAAAATGAATGTCATGTTTCCATTATATTTTGCTCAAGATAATTTGCTTCTAAGTTTTCTGGTAATTGAAACAACAAAGCAAATACAATCAGTTGTAATATTCAAATTATCAAGGAGTTTAAATCAAACTCGATACTTAGGAAAAATAACATAGAGATCAGAAAAAAAATTCTCTAGTAGAGAAATTTATAAGGTAATGACTGAAGTACCTGCAAATCTCTACGGTAAAAACAGTAACAAGTCCCATAGGGCTGTGTTTGGATGAATACACAATGTGAAACACATATGCACACATATAGATATAAATGAATGTGATATGTTTATGTGTCTATATTTTTTTAATGAATGACATAATGCCAAAATACAGTTTAGTTAAAACAATTGTAAGAACATCCTATGATGCAATTTCCCCATACTCTGACAATACACATTAATCCAGGATTAAATTTTAGAGTAACTTAAAGCAGTGGCTCTTAAAATGTTTCCTGAGTAACATACAACTTTGAAGCTCTGACCAATTCCTCCAAATCTTACAAATATTTTGGAAGTTTAAGTACCTCAAAAAGCCTAACCAGGAAGGCTAGAGTATATGATTCCAGGTAAAAAGCTCTTGGACTAGAATAGTCACTGTGATTACAAGGCCTCCATACAGTGCTTGAAAACCATTTTCTCTTAGCATTTTGAGGGGTGTTAAGCTTAAGTGCACTGAAGATGACTCCTCTTGCCAAGTACCTGGAGTGAAGCTATTTTAAGCTGTCAGTGAAATGCAGAGCATATGCTCTTAATGATCTGTTGAGCTAAGGTAGGACTCACTTCCTTTACAGAGAACTGAGCTTAATAAAGACATACATCTCAGCACATCAGTCCATGTGGAAGCGAGGAGGGTACTTGTCTCTAGAGCCAAGATTTTCCTTAGAAAGCACTTTGGATGCATTCTCAGTAGGAAATAAACAACCAGAGATTCCATGCCATAATGTACGAAAAACTTTTAGTCTAGATTTAAGTACTCCTTGGCTACTAAATAAATCCAATTAAATATAGTATCTGGTAAAGTATATCCTGTTTTTAAGCAATGTAAGTTCTAATTTATGTGACAGACTGAATTATTCCTCTTAATTCATCCACACCCGTACCATGGCCTCATTATAGGCAAAGTGCATATCCCCACCTCATGACTTTGAGCTTAATTATGTGACTTGCTTAATAACAGTAGGTAAGCAGATATGACATGAGCAAGGGCTTAAAATGTGTGTATCTGGGCTTATACTCTTGTGCTCCTGCCTTTTGCCAAAAGAATACGCCTTAGACAGCTACTGGTCCAAGGAGGATAAGAAACAAATGGACAGAAATACACCCAAGAAACAGCCTGAAACCAAGCCCAGGCTGAGCCTTGATCAGCTGAACCCCAAACCCGTGTGTGAGAAATAAAGGTTTAGGTTTGCAGGAGTTTTGGGATGATGTCTTATGAATGTTACTGTGACAATTAATAACAGACACGGTAAATACAAGTCGTAAGTTGCAAAATGTAAATATCAATAACTGAATTGCTATACTGACTGTCAGCTTTAAATCACTCGGGGCTTACACACGAAGGCGAGAAAATGGCTTTTTTCCAGGAGGGAGAGGGACAGCATACCACAGTAACAATTCTCACCCACTTTGACTAGTTTACTGAGAGGGAGGTTTCAGGCTGTTTTTCCATCTATAAGATTTATGTCTAAATAGCTCAGCAATATATCCAAGGCAAGGAGGCAGGGCAACAGAGAAGACCCATTAGGGATATTTTTAACCCTGAAATTATTTAGAATTTGGGGTGCATGGTGACACAAAGCAGACTGTAGCTGGTTTTACTGTTTTAAAATTCTCTGCATATAACATAACCCCTTATTGATTGCACCTGGGACACATGCTCCCTCTGTCTTCCCAACCCCTTCTCCCGTTGATCCCCCAAAACACCTCATGATTACTGGGACACAGAATTCCAAAAATAAAATTCTCAAAAGTAACTTACACAAAATACCTGTTATTTTTTAATTAAAATTTTTTTTTGATGTTTTATTTATTTCTGAGAGAGAGAGAGCATGAGCAGGGAGGGTCAGAGACAGAGGGAGATACAGAATCTAAAACAGGCTCCAGGCTGTGAACTAGCTGTCAGCACACAGCCCGATGCGGGGCTCGAACTCACTAACCGTGAGATCATGACCTGAGCCGAAGCTGGACGCTTAACCGACTGAGCCAACACCCAGGCGCCCCCAAAATACCTAAGTTATTATTAAGCGCAGTAGTACCAGTTCATTCAATTATTTTATGAATGGTGAAAGCTTTATAAAGTTAATCACAATGGAAAAAATTAAGGTCTCTGAATTATAACCAAATTAACATCATAATAGGAAATTATCTCAAATGTAAAGCCATTAAACTAAGCCGGTGCTTATTCACTCTAGAAATATATTCAGATCATACAAACCATTTAGTTCCTTATACCATTTTTAATGGACTCTACTGTCTTTATTCATTACGCTGGGTTTAGATATGTTGATAACTATCTCAGTATCACTGAGGATCAATGAAAAGTAAGGGTACGAATGCTCCTAGATTATTTTTTGGTAAATTAATATTGGTAATAAAGTTTACAAAGATAATATAAATCTCATTCATTATCAATACCAACATAATTCAGTAATTTTTTTAATTGCTCAAAAGGAGCTATATTTCAATACAAATTTTAATCTAAAAAAAGCAGCTATCACTTCTTGATTTCCTCTCAAATTAAGAGTAAATTAAAAGGACATTGTTAAACACCATAGTTAATGAATAATCATCTGACATTCTGAAACTACAGTCTTTCGAATTTAAGAATATTCAGAACTGTATTAACTGGAAACTGCAGCTAAGCTGAAATGCTTTAACATTAGAGTAATACATAGTCTATCTTATGTATAAAATACAGCATGTAAGCATGTAATATGTTATATATAACAGTATATACTGCTGACTTTATTTTTAAATTAACAAATCCCACCATAGATAATAAAAGTCTAAAATAACTAGCAATTAGAATTAATCCCAATGAATGCCCCCAGAATTTCTTTAAAATATTACATTTATTAAGCAAAGTTTACTTATATTTAATATAAAAGTTTACATACCTGATGCCCCAAAAACTACATCCCAGGGGGAACTAATGGGCTGTTCTTCTCCTTTAGCTCCACCTTCTTTATCTGTACCTTGAATTCCAATGCCAGCTACAGTGCTCACCACCTCAGCTTGTAGATCAATCTATAGAAATTAACACGGTTTATGCAATGCATGTTACTTTTGTGGTTTTTTTTTTCCTTTTGGTACATGAGGACTTCCAATAGAACATATATAAAGTTTTTGCAACACAAATAGTCTTAAAAATAAAAGGCTAATCAAGTACAGTATAGGGTGAGCTTGATATTCAAATGCAGAAAGCTCAGTCCTTTTCATTTCCCCATCCACCTGTTCCCCCTCCCTCATTAAAGCCTCTACCAGAACTGGTAGTGACCTCATCTTAACTGTAAAGTATGTTAAAAGAAAGTGTATTTCCAAATTTCAAAGCAAAATCTGGAAAAATGCATGTTTCTTTTTTTTTTTTTTTTGAGCAAGCACATGTGTGCAAGTGGAGGAGGGGCAGAAAGAAAGGGAGAGAATCCCAAGCAGGCTCCACACCCAGTGCAGACATCATGACCATGATCAGGTCATGATCGTGACCACGAGATCATGACCTGAGCCAAAATCAAGAGTTGGGCACTTAACTGACTGAGCTACCCAGGCAGTCCAAAAAATGCACGTATCTTAAAATTAAATGTATGTATTTCAGTTACCCTTGCCTAGTAATTGACAAAAATAGAGCTGAATGTGTGCCAGGTACTAATCCAAGAGTCATCCATTCATCCATCCTCATAATAATCCTGTGATTGTGATTTTGATTACTACTGAGGATACTGAGGCACAGATCATAAAGTAGGTTTCCAAGATCCCACAGCTACTAAATGGAGGATCTGGGATTTTAACCCAGGCAGTTCTAGCTCTACTACACTATACTGCGTCTACTTTATAAACTGAAAAACTAATCAACTCTACTGAAAATAAAGTGCTTTGGTTTCATCTTTTGAGCTCCTTCCCCTAACATTTTACCATGAAAGTTATCAAACATAAAAGTTGAAAGAATTTCACAACAAACATCTGTACACCCACCTACTATCAACATGTCACTTACTTGCTTTATCACATAAGCTATCAATCCTTCAAACCATTTATACTTTTTGACACATTTCAAAGTAAATTCTAAACATCTGTACACAGGCTCTAAATGTTCCAGCTTGCTTATCATTGATAAGAGGTCCGTATTTTTTCAGTTCCCTTTTCTTTTTTGAGGCAAAACTTACAATGAAATGCAAAGATCTTAAGTGTATTGTTTAATGACTTCTCATAAATGCATAAAACTGTGTAGCCCTAGCTTACATAAAGATATAGAATGTTATCTTCACTCCAGTAAGTCCCCTTATGCCTCCATCCAGATAATCCTGCCCCCAGAGACAAATAGTATTGTTTTTTCCATCACAGATTAGTTTTATCTAAGACCTCAGCTAAACTAAACAGAATCAAACTATATGGACACTTTCACTTAACAGGTTTCTAAGATTTATTCATACATAGGTAGTTTGTTCCTTTTTATTGCTGAGCACTATTCCACCATATGAATATACCACAGTTCATTTATTTATTTTCCTACTGATGGACATCTGGGTTATTTCTCGCTTGGGGCCTTCAAATAGGGTTGCTCTCAATATTCTCATATGAGCCTTTTGGTGAACATGTGTTTTCACTTCTTTTATGTACATACACAGGACTAAAATTGCCGTGTTACAGGGCAGGTATACGAGAAGTATAAACAAAAAATGCCAGAAGGATTTATTTACCCCAGTGGTCTATACTTTTGTATTCCCACCAACGATGTATGAAAGCTCCAACTGCTCCACTCCTTGCCAGCCTATCGTGTTGTCAGACTTCTTAATTTTAGCCATTAGAGCACTGCATTGTGTTTGCAATTTACATTTCCTTTTTAACCCATGATGTTGATCACTTTCTATTTGTCATCATTCTTACATCCTCCACTGTAAATTCTAATGTGAAATTTTAAATTTATTTTTTCTTTTATGATTATTGTTTTTGTGTCCTGTATTTGAGAAACCTTTGCCTACTTGCCAGTCATGAAGGTATTTTCATGTTTTCTTCTAAAAGCTTTATCATTTTAGCATTTACATTTAGGTCTGTGATACATCTTGAGCTGATGTTTGTATATGGAGTATAAGGTAGGGGTCATGTTTCTTCTTTCCCCCGATATGAGTACCTGGTTGCTCAAGTGCAATATGATGAAAGGACTTTCCTTTCTCCCTGGACTGCATTGATGCTTTTTTAAAAATCAAATAACCGTGTAGGTATGGGCTTCTAGACACTCCATTCTTTTGTCCTAATCTACACATCTTTTTAGAAGTATCACACTGTCCTGATTCATGTAGTATTATAGAAAGGCTTTAAATCAGATAAGTGTCTTTTAACTTTGTTTTTCCAAGACTTTTAGGTATAATAAATGCTTTGTTTTGCACCTCCATATAAATATTGGCATCCACTTGTCAATATCTTAAATAAAAAAATAAAAGTACCTCATGGAGTTTTGATTGAGATTTTTACATTGAATTCACAGATCAATTTGGAGAGAACTGACATCTTAATATTGAGCCTTCTAATCCAGTATTAGATGAATTTTTCTCAGCAATGTTACAATTTAAAGTATCTAGATATCGTATATTTTTGTTAAATTTATTCTATGTATTTTTTTAGTACTATAAATAGAGTTAAAAAATTCCAATCCAATTGACTATTACTAGTAGATAAAAAAACTGATCTTTTAATACTGAGATTGTATTCAACAACGTTCCTAATTTCTCTTATTTAAGTGGTATTTTCATAAATTTCTTATATTTTCTATCATGTCACTAGAAAATAAGGGCAGCTGTTCTTCTTCCTTTTTGGCCAGTAGGCTTTTTCTCTTTCTTGCTTTATTACAGTGGCTAGTACTTCCAGTATAGTGTGGTGAGAAGGGGGCTCCTTGCCTCGTTCCCAATCTTGGAAGGAAAGCATTCAATATTTTGCATTAATTATAGCTATAAGCTTTTTGTAGATGTCCTTTATCATATTAAGGACATTCACTTCAAGTTTACTAGTTTTATCATGAATAGAAAAACATTAAAAAAACATTTAAAAGCAATTGTATGGTTAACACCTTTTATTCTGTTACTACAGTGAATTACAGTGATTTAATTAAGCAGTATCCTCTTGCATTATTTTTAGTGGCTGTTCTATAATCTCCTGAAATTGTAAGGAATATTCATCAGTGTAACCCTATCCATATTTTTACTGAACCCAATCTGCAAAATATAATAGGCAGCTAGGGATGGGCCCTTGAAATATATCTTGATTTAGGAAATGTATCAAAAACTGATATGATAAAGAATTACTCTTGCAAAAACCCACTGGTCCAGGTGATATTACAGAGATGTTTTAATGAATATTCAAAAACTGTTAATTCCTGTGTTAGACAAATTATTCCAAAAAATAGAAAAAGAGCAAAACCTAATTAGTTAGTGTGACTCTGGTTCTAATATCAGGTGAGAACAGTACAAGAAAATATAGAACCATTTAATTTATGAACATGAATTTTAAAATATTAAAGTCTAACTTGGGATAATCAAATCCACCTTGGCTTTTTTTAACAAAATTCATGATTAGATAAGATTTATTCAAGAAATAAAAAGATGATTAAACATCAAAAACCTATTGGGGCACCTGGGTGGCTCAGTCAGTTAAACATCAAAAATCTATTAATACATTACATCAAGACACTAAAGGCAAAAAACTATATAATTATTTCAATAAATGTAGAAAATATATTTGATAAAATTATATAATAATTCTTAGTAACTAGATAGAAAGTTTAACTTCATTAATAATTTTATTTCCCAAAGCTATAGAAAATATTAAATTTCTGTAGAAAATTTACTCCCTTTTAGATTATGAGCATAACAAGATACCCTACTATTACTGCTAATGTTTAAAGGCAATTGAGGTCCTTGCCAGCAGTTTTTGAAAAAACTTTTTTAAAAAGCAGGCTCCAGGCTCTGAGCTGTCAGCATAGAGCCCTACGTGGAGCTCAAACTCACCAACCGTGAGATTATGACCTGACTAAAAATCGGACACTTAACTGACCAAGCCACCCAGGAGCCCCTTAAAAATTTTTTTAATGTTTATTTATTTTTGAGAGAGAGAGAGAGAGACAGAGCATGAGTGGGGGAGAGGTAGAGAGGGACGGAGGCACAGAATCCAAAGCAGGCTCCAGGCTTCGAGCTGTCAGAATGGGGCTCAAACTCATGAACTGTGTGATCATGACCTGAGCCAAAGTTGGACGCTTAACTTAATGAACCACCCAGGTGCCCCTTGTCAACAATAAAAGAAAACAAGACATGTAAAAACAAAAAGGGAAAAGATAAAAAGTGCCATTTGTTTTTGAAGACATCATTATATGAGAAACAAATAAGGTTTTACAGAAATGGATGAGCTGATCCTAAAATTTGTATGGAATTGCAACGGACTCATAACAGCTACACCAATGCTGAAAAAAGAAAGTGGGAGGACTCCTACTTCCTGATTTCAAAACTTATTAGAAGTTACACCAATCAGGGGCGCTTGGGTGGCTCAGTGGTTAAGTATCTGATTTTGGCTCAAGTCATGATCTCATGGTTCATGGGTTCGAGCCCTGCGGCGGGCTCTGTACTGACAGCTAGCTCAGAGCCTGGAGCCTGTTTTGGATTCTGTGTCTCCCTCTCTCTGACCCCTGTTCACACGTCTCTCTCTCTCTCTCTCTCCCAGAAATAAATAAAACATTAAAAATTAATAAAAAACAAAAGAAGTTACACAAATCAAAACAGTGTGGTATAGGCATAAGAAATGATATATAAGTCAATGGAATAGACTTGAAAGTTCCAAAATAAACCCATGTATGTATGAATAATTATTTTCTACCAGGTTGCCAAAACTCTTCAATGAAGAATAGTCTCTTCAATACATGATTCTGGGAGAACTGGATATCCACATTCAGAAGACCTCTATTTCACACCACATACAAAAAATAAATTCTAAATGCAGCAAGGACTGAACTATAAAACTTTCTCAGAAGAAAACATAGGAGTAAATCTTCATGATCTTGGATATGGCAACCAAAAGCCTAAGCAACTAAAGAAAAAAAAATTGAGAGTCCTCAAATTTAAAACTGTTCTACATCAAAAGATGTGATTAAGAAAGTGAAAAGACAACTCACAGAATTTGAGAAAGTATTTGAAAAATCACCTGTCTGATAACGGATTTGTACATAGAATATATAAAGAACTCTTACAACTCAATAATAAACACAACCCAGTTTAAAAAAAAAAAACTGGTAAAGAATCTAAAGAGACTTCTCAAAGGAAGATATAAAAGCAGTCCATAAGGAGGGGACCAGATGCTTGACATCTTTACTCATTAGGGAAATAATTATCAAAACCACAATGAGAGGCAACGTTACAACTAGTAGGAAGGCTAGGGATTTAAAAAGTGGAAACTAACAAATAATGGTGAAGATATGGAAAAATTAGAACTCACATATATTGCAGGTAGAAATGTAAAATGATGCTGCCACTGTGGAAAAGTTTCTTAAGAAGTTAAACATAAAATATAAAACATATAACTCAACAATTCTGTTACTTAGGTATCTACCCAAGAGAAATGAAAATGTATGTCCACACAAAATTTTTACATAAATTCATAACAGCCATTTAATGTCAGCCATTAAATGTCAATAAACTGCTGGGCAGACAAAACATGGTATATGTTTATACAACGGATTGCTATTCAGCAATACAATGGAAGAAATCACAGATATGCTACATCACAGATGAACTTCAAAACATTACTCAGAATGAAAAAAGCCAGACACAAAAGACCATGTATTATGTAATTCTATTTCTATGAAATGTTCAAAAGAGGCAAATTTATAAATAGAAAGATTAGGGTGGGGCCTAAAAATAGGGATTAACTGTAATTGGGCATGAGAGTTCTTGGGGGGGGGGGTGGTTAAATGTTCTAAAAACAATTTATGGTTATGGTTGTACAACCTGTTAAATTTCCTAAAAATTCAATTATATACTTGAAATAAGCGCTATGTAAAATATATCACAATACAGTTAGACAACACTAACACTACATGTTTTACAAGGTCATATGCAAATAGGAAGGTATGAATTGAATGTACCAGAATGGCAGGCAGGCTACAGGTGTGTGTTTATGCAGGGGAATAACAGGGGGATGAGAGTAGGCTAAAAAGGAATTTATAAATTACTAAATGAATTATTCTAAACAAGAGTCAGGTCTGCATGAAACAATGATGTTTGTGAAATATGAACATACGATCAATTCTCTGCAAATGAGGTCTTAAGAGTAAACTATAGTAAATATTTTAATATATTTATAAAAAAGAAGAAATAATAATTCCACATTTTTTGGGGCAGACACTAAACTAAGTCATATAATTTAAAAATAACTTCACATGGGGCACCTGAGTGGCTCAGTCAGTTGAGCATCTGACTTCGGCTCAGGTCATGATCTCATAGTTCGTGGGTTTGAGCCCCATGTCAGGCTCTGTGCTGACAGCTTAGGGCCTGGAGCTTGTTTTGGATTCTGTGTCTCCCTCTCTCTCTCTGCCCCTCCCCCACTCATGCTCTGTCTCTGTCTCAAAAAAAAAAAAAAAACTATAAAAAAATTTTTTAAAATAACTTCATGTGACATGAATTTGTTGTGATTATGCTGCTTAAAAAATATTTGAAACACAGTGAATATTCCAAAACTCATTAAGTTCGAAGGCAAGAGAAAGAACACAGAATTTTAAAAAGACAAATACACCCTGAATGTTGTGGGCTAAGTACCTTACAACTTCAACACCTTGTCAGATATCTGGGACATTACAATGAATTATACAAACATACAACCCTGAAAAGACATTGACCTTTAAGGACTTGGTAATGATAGAAAATCACTTTTTCCTAAAGTGGGAAATCAAGACATACCATGAAATCATGAGTCCTATGAAAAGGTCTACCTAAAAAAGCCTTCCTGGTCAAATAAATTTAGAAATACTTCACAGATATCCTCCCACTAATGTATTCACAATATATTAACGTATTAACGTCTCTAAGAACAAAGTCTCCAAGACTTTCAAAGAATAAATCTGCTTTAATTTGCAAATCCACAAAATCCTTGCCTCACATAACATTTTTTCAAATTAAAAGAAATATACATCAGAAAATGCTTCATTAAATATGTTATTTGCTCAAAAATGCATTCAACAAATATCTATTGAACACTTACTATGGGCCAGACCTTGTTCTAGGTACTTAAAATTTGAGCAGTAAAATCAATTTTCATCCCCTCATGGAAATTTACCTTGCAATGGTATTACAGGTTCCATCCATGTTTTTTCCTATTATATGAGGTGATAATATTGTCAAATGGGCACAAATATCAAAAGGGAGAAAAAGTGAGAAAAGCAAGGAAGTATGTGAAACAATGTGTTTACACAGGATGGGTCAAATGAACTTAGTTACTTATTTCCTAAATAGACATCAACTTAAAGACCAATGGATTATAGCCAAAATATTCATTTATATGAAATGTTTAAAATAACTAAGTACTTCTATAATGGGATACTATGCAGTCATATCATTCATATGATTAATATGGAACACAAATTTAAGTAAACTGCGAAGAGGGGCGCCTGGGTGGCTCAGTTGGTTGAGTGTTGGACTCTTGATTTCAGTTCAGGTCATGAGCTCAGGGTTGTGGGATCAAGCCCTGTGTTGGGCTGCGTGCTGAACATGGAGCCTGCTTAAATTTCCCTTTCTCTCCCTGCCTCTCTCCCTCTTTCCCACTCACACTCTCTAAAACAAAAATTAAAAAAAAAAACTGTAGAAGATTATGTATGTATACGATTCATTTATTTAAAAAAGATTTTCTAGAGACAGTCTTTTATTTACTTTTTTTTAATTTTTAAAGAGAGAGAGAGAGAGAGAGAGAGAGAGAGAGAGAGCGAGCATGAAGGGGGGAGGGGCAGTGAGATGGGGGGCCGGGGGTGGGGAAGAATCTTAAGCAGTCTCCTTGCTCAGCACTGGGCCCAACATGAGGCTTGATCTCACAACATCAGGATCATGACCTGAACAGAAATCAAGAGTTGGACACTCAGGGGACTGAAACACCCAGGCATCCCTAGAGATAGTTTTAAATACCAATTTATTTGTATAAGGCAGAAAATCACTGAAAAGACAAAAATTTTAACAATGGGGAAGCTAAAATAGATGATATGAGCCTTTTTTACCTTTCTGTACGAATTCATTTTTTTAAACAAGACCATATATAACTTTTATAATGAAATAAAACAAATTTTAAGATTGACTTCTTTATGCGTATTTCCAAACAAAGCATAAAACGTGAAGAGAGGTGGGAGTGGTAGGATCTTTCTTCTAGGTTTGAGAAAATTTAACTGAAAAAAGGACAAAGCACTGCTCTGTAAACAGTGGTTAGGGAAATATTTCGCAAGGAGGTGATTAGGGACATTGAAACAAAAGGATCAACAACAACAACAAGACATGACTGATGGTTAATCTTCTGTGAAAACTACAGACTGATACACAGAAAAGTAAGACCACTAAGAAAACAACTAAAACAAGTACCTCTGAAAAAAGCTGAATTAAGAGGACCTGCGGTGTTTTAGCATTATCCTCTCATTTCAAATATTTAAAGCAGCAATACTAGTTTTTCTAATAGCAGTATTAAAACTTCATTTTAAATTGAAAATTACCTTTCTTATAAGGTGGTTTTCAGTATCTGCCACATATATGATATTATTCCTTATGGCTACACCCTGTGGTGAATTAAAAGTTGACTCTGAAAATATTCCATCTTTTCTTCCAGGGTTGGGTCCTAAAAGACAAGACAGCCACAAGACAATTTTTTTCTTCTTAAAAAGTTATCTCAAATTAACCCCCCCCCCCATTGTTTTTCCTTTCTTTTTATCTATATAGGAAGATGGATACAAGCTGAATCTATCATGGTAATTATTTTTTAAACATATGTAAATCAAACCTAAATAAATAAACAAACAGTATTTAGAGCCTGGATTTTAATATAAATAGTATGATACTTTTACCTAAAAACTAGTGTTTCCAAAGATCTATTTTTCTCGAGAGTAGGTTTTGCTATTGACAGGGCTTACTGGATAATGGTCACTAGTGCACTTTAGTAGCATATATCAGAAGAGGATATTTCTATTTTTTTATTATTTTTTTCAAGTTTATTTATTTATTGGGTGCTTGGTGGCTCAGTCAGTTAAGCATCTAACTCTGGCCCAGGTCATCATCTCATGGTTTGTGGGCCTGAGCTCCACGTAGGCTTTGAGCTTATAGCTTGGAGACTGCTTCAGATCTTCTGTCTCCCTCTCTCTCTAACCCTCACCTGCTCACACATGCCCTCTCTCTAAAATAAATAAACATTAAGAAAATTAGTTTAGGGGTGCCTGGGTGGCTCAGTCAGTTCAGCATCCAACTTCGGCTCAGCTCATGTTATTACAGTTTCTGAGTTCATACCCGACATCGGGCTTCGCACTGACAACACAGAGACTGCTTGGAATTCTCTCTCTTTCTCTCTCTCTCTTCCTCTCTCTGCCCCTCCCCTGCTTGTGCTCTCTCTCTCAAAATAAATAAAGTTAAAAAAAAATCTGTTAAACCACAACTAACCAGTATTTCCTAAGTGTGTCTGACCACATAAGTCTTCTAAAAAACTACTATAGAAAAATTATTAATTTATCACAAGATAACATTATTCCTAAAACCATGTTTGGGAAAGGTAGCTTCCTGCTGGTGTCTCTGTTTAACAAAGGAGAATATTCATTTACATTATTTTGAAAATTATAAAATTAAAAACCTTTTAACCATTTAAATTGTATCTACTATAACAGATAATTTTTGAGCAACAGTTCTTAGCAGTACTGTCTTAAACTCAAACACCAAGTTGCCCAAACAAAAGAAACACAAAATACAGAACTCTAACAAAAATGAAAAAGAAGAAATGTGAAAAATTAAAGAGCTAAGGAAACAATATCTAGGAATACTAAGAATAGCACCAGGGCTTAAGAAGACGACTCCTTTATTTGCATTAGGAATGCAGATACCCCTACTTTATGGACTAAAGCAGGATTGCAAAGAGATGAATTCTGTTTCTTTGTTATGTTATTAGATGTCAATTCAGCCTGGATAAGCAGGATTAATAGCAATGTACTAAACAGACTTTATTAACTATGTAGATGTACTGAGCCCATTTAAAAAAAAATTTTTTTTTTTTAATGTTTTATCTATTTCTAGGAGAGAGAGAGGGAGACAGTGTGAGCAGGGGAGGGTCAGAGAGAGAGGGAGTCACAGACTGAAACAGGCTCCAGGCTCCGAGCCGGCAGTCAGCACAGAGCCCGATGCGGGGCTCGAACCCATGGACCGCGAGATCATGACCCAAGTGAAACTCAGACACTTAACCGACTAAGCCACCCAGGCGCCCCTGAGCCCATTTTAGATCTAAAACCAGGGAGATATATTTCAATACATTTCCTTGAGTTTTACTGTAAAATATATTACATATCATAATTAGAAGCAAATTTTACCTCCAATGCTGTACTGAATTTGTCCATTCTTCCAGACGACCAAAATTCTGTGATGTCCAGTGTCTGCTATTACCAATCTATTAGAAACATGGTCTACTGTTACTTTGCCAGGAAACAGCAATGGTGAAGGTGGCAAAGAATCTTTATAGAGTTTTATTTCAATTTTATTATTTCTGATCTGTCCCCTGTCTTTATAATACTTTAAAGCTATTGAAGTATATAAAAATAATTTATCTTTTTGTCCCTCTCCAATCAAAGAAAATAACATATTTCCACGAGGTCCAACTATGACCAAAGTTGGCCAGCAGGAGACTTCTAATTCTTGCCACAGGCTGGCATCTGCATCATTAACCACAGGGTGGGTGATGTTGTATCGAAGAACGGCGCTCTTAACGTTATCCAGGACTTTTTCATTTGGAAACTTAGCCGAGTGAACACCAACAATCAGAAGACCATCTAAATGGGAAAAATTGTACGTTAAACATTATGAAGTATTTGAGTCTGAATGTCACCATCTACACAATTAGACTATGGGTCATTAATAAACAGTCCAGAGATTTAAAAAAAAAAAAAAAAAAGGCAGAACTGAAAGTGTCTTCAACTGCATTTAAACACATGTATAAAAAAATTAACGCTCAAATATCATGACTTTCTTGACAACTACATAAAAATACATATGATCAAAATAATGTGGCTATTTCAGGATTAAACCTCTTTGTGTCCTTTAGAAAAAATTTAAAAAACACGTTAATTTCTTATAAAGATATTGAAATGCTGTTATTTTTTTCTCCACCTATTATAAAAGCCCCTTGGAAATTCATAGTGACTATCCATGGCTGCTTTTTGTTAGTATTTATTGTCACATTATCCTTCTAGATTTTTCTTGCCTTTCCGCATTACAGATTAACAGAACGAATATAAGCAAGATGTTTCTATAATATTAAGGTCTTTGATTTCTTTAAAATTCCTATTACGTGGGTTCTTAGAACAAGCCTTAATTGTAGATAGTAGACAAAAAAAGAAAAAAAAAAGGAAAAAGTGTTCAGCTGGATTCAGAGAAAAAACTCAATACTGATTACAGAGGTAATAATGGCTGTGTAAGTTACAATCTCCCAACACACTCATCAAAAACTATGCACATTCATCACGAAGAAGAAATTAAACCATACAAAATTGGGAGGTATAATTTCCTAACGGACCATCCTTCCATTTGCAACTATTAACTCCTAACAAAAACACGGACATCACACATGTACATATACCCCTCACCCCTGCTTGAGGACAGAGAAAAGTAAACAAAAGCAGGTAGATTGTTGGGGGAGGGGTGAGTTTCAAAACTTGGAAAAGCAAACCTTGAAGGGGAGTTTCCAGTTTTATCTTCGCTTCACAACTTTGCGTTGAAGGTGGACCCCAGTTTGGGAGCAACACAGGTGGCTAAGACTGGGGAAACCCCTTTCTGGCCTAAGGAGGCAGGAAAACTGGAGAGTGTGGGGGAAACATCAAGGGGAAGAGAACTGGAGAAGGGGACTCCCCATTTTTGAGAATGAACACTGACAAGTCTATACACATACTATACCCATGTGAGGCAGCCTTACAACAGCACAGCACAAGCTTAAAGAACCAAGATGTGGACTGCTGGGCTGGTGAAAGGAGACATGGAGCTGATGGAAGAAGGGATGGAACTCTGAGTTTGCACCAACAAAGGTGAATGCCTACAAAAACAACTGACAGACACCAGCTCCAAAATGAAGCAGAAGTTTGAATTAGCAGACAAAGGACAGTAAAGGAACTCTAACTATGCTCTGTGAGGGAAAGAAAAACATACTTGAGGGGCACCTGGGTGGCTCAGTTGGTTGAGTGTCCGACTCTTGATCTCAGCTCAGGTCAGGATCCCCAGGGTCATGGGACTGAGCCCCGAGTCAGGCTCTGAGCTGAGTGTGGAGTGTGCTTAAGATATTCTCTCTTTCCCCCTCTGCTGCTCTCCCCGACTCTCACTCCCTCTCTCTCAAAAAGAAAAAAAAAAAAAAAGATTTAAAAAGAAAAACACACTTGATATGAATGAAAAAATAGAAGATAGAACAGAAAATAGAAATAGAAAATAGAAAAAAACTAAATGAAAATTTTAGAACTCAAAAATACCGTATTTAAAATAATTCACTGAATGAGCTCAATGGCAAAAAAGAGATGACAGAGAAGAGTCAGTAAACCTAAAAATACCTCAACGGGAAATTATCCAATCTAAGGGGCATAAAGAAAGAAGATGAAGAACAAAAATGAACAAACCCTCGGGGACCTGTGGAAGAGTTTTAAATGATCTAATGTATATGGATTTTGAATCACAGGAGGGGACAAAAAGATCAGGACAGAAAAAATATCTGAATAATGCCAAAACTTCCAAAATTCATCTGAAGATACAAATTTACAGAAAACCCAGAAATGAACGCACAACTATGTGACCAACTACTCTTTGACAAAGCAGGAAAGAATATCCAAAGGAAAAAATTCTCTTCAACAAATGGTGCTGGGAAAACTGGACAGCAACATGCAGAAAAATGAAACGGGACCACTTTCTGACACCACACACAATAATAAATTCAAAATGGATGAAAGACCTAAATGTCAGATAGGAAACCATCAAAATCCTAGAGAACACAGGCAGGAACCTCTCTGACCTCAGCCAGGGCAACTTCTTACTAGACACGTCACCAAAGGCAAGGGAAACAAAAACAAACATGAACTATTGGACTTGATCAAAAGCTTCTGCACAGCAAAGTAAGCAATCAACAAAATTAAAAGGCAGCTTAAAGAATGGGAGAAGATATTTCTTTGCAAATGACACATCTGATAAATGGTTAGTACCCAAAATCTATAAAGAACTTATCAAACCACAAAAACAAACAACTGAGTTAAGAAATGGGCAGAAGTCATGAATAGACACTTTTCCAAAGAAGACATCCAGAGGGCTAACATGAAAAGATGCTCAACATCACTCATCGTCAGAGAAATACAAATCAAAACCACGATGAGATAACCACCTCACAACTGCCAGAATGGCTAAAATTAACAACACAAGAAACAACAGGTGTTGGTGAGGATGTGGATGGAGAAAGGGGAACTCTCTTGCACTGTTGGTGGGAACGCAAAACTGGTACAGCCACTCTGGAGAACAATATGGAGGTTCCTCAAAAAACTAAAAACAGAACTACCCTATGATCCAGCAATTGCACTATTAGGTATCTACCCAAAGGATACATAAATACAGATTCAAATGGTACATGCACCCCAATGTTTACAGCAGCATTATCAACAATAGCCAAACTATGGAGGGAGCCCAAAAGCCCATCAACTGATAAATGGATAAAGATGTATTTACGTACAATGGAATATTACTCAGCTATCAAAAAGAATAAAGTCTTGCGATTTATAATATGGATGGAACTAGAATGTATTGTTAAGTGAAATAAGTCAATCAAAGAAAGACAAATACTACATGACTTCACTCATGTGGAAACAAAACAGATGAACATATGGGAAGGGTGGAAAAAAAGAAAGGGAAACAAACCACAAGAGACTCTTAACAATAGGGAACAAGCTGAGGGTTGATGGAGGGATGTGGGTGGGCAGATGGGGGATGGGTATTAAGGAAGGCCTTAGTTGTGATGAGCATTGGGTGTTATATGCAAATGACAAACCACTGAATTCTCCTCCCAAAAGTTTCTGCACTGCATGTTAACTAAATAAAATTTAAATTTAAAAAATAAAATAAATTTACTGAATTCAAGAAATTCAATCTAAACAGGATACATTAAAAGAAAATCATGTTAAGACACATCATAAACTCGGAAAACCAAAGATTAAAAAATAACCTCACAAACATTTTTAAAAGAAAATACACAAAACCAACCCAGTGATTGATGGTTACTTAGGGACTGGGAAGAAGGGTGGTAGGGACAAGTGGGAAAAATTATACACTTAAAATATGTGCAATTTACTTTGTGTCAATTATGCCACAATAAAGTTCTTTAAAAAAATAGCATGAGCTCTGGAGTCAGGCTCCCTATAATCAAATTCTGGCTTTACCACTTGCTGAATTGCTTTGGGCAAGTTACTTAATCTCTCTGGGCATCAGTTTTTATATTTGTAAAATTTGGAAAATAGTAACTGCCTCATAGGTCAGTTTTTAGGATTAAGAGATAATCCAATTAAGGTATTTAGCATAGTACCTAGTATACTATAATAGCTCAATGAATGCTGCTGTTGTTTATTTTAAGTTAGAAGTACAAGGATGCCTGGGTGGCTCAATTGGTTAAGCGTCCAACTTTGGCTCGGGTCATGATCTCAATTTTCATGAGTTTGAGCCCCACACTGCGCTCTTTGCTGTCAACAAAAAGCCCCTTTGGATCCTCTGTCCCCTTCTCTCTGCCCCCACCTTCTGCTCATGCTCTCTCTCAAAAATAAATAAAAACATGAAAAAAATGGGGCGCCTGGGTGGCTTAGTCGGTTAAGCGTCCGACTTTCGCTTAGGTCATGATCCCGTGGTTTGTGGGTTCGAGCCCCGCGTCGGGCTCTGTGCTGACTGCCAGCTCAGAGCCTGGAGCCTTTCAATCTGTGACTCCCTCTCTCTCTGACCCTCCCCTGCTCACGCTGTCTCTCTCTCTCCTAGAAATAAATAAAACATTAAAAAAAAAAAAAAAAAAATTTTAAAAAAAAAAAAAAAAAATTTTAAAATAAAAAAAAAAAAACATGAAAAAAATAAAGTTATAAGTACAAAGATAATAAAATACAAGTTTTTCTAACTAAAGCAGTTAGTAAAATAGCAAAGAAAATACATTGTGTGAAGAAACACAATAAATAACTAACCTAATGCATACAATGATCATGCATGATAATAAGTAAATATGAATGGGCTTAACTCAAAAAAAATTGGGGGGGGTGTACCTGGGTGGCTCAGCAAGTTAAGCTTCCAATTTCGGCTCAGGTCATGATCTCACGGTACCTGAGTTCGAGCCCCACTTCAGGCTCCTGCTTCAGATTCTGTGTTTCCCTCTCCTCTGTCCCTCCTCCGCTCACACTCTGTCTCTCTCTCTCAAAAATAAACATTAAAAAAATTACAAAAAAATTTCTTTGGATTTTAGGAAGGTGCGTATTTTTATTCCAGGGTTACCTTTGTATTAATACTTTTTATCATGTTATAAAAGTATTAATTCCCATTTTTCATAACCTTTAATTATCTGGCCAATCATTCTTAAATGGCATCATTTAATTCCTACCTACTACTTATACAGTAATGACTAGTTTTCATTAGTTGTATTCTTTCGACTTTTGTCAGAATAGGATTTTATATTCTTCTACCCACGGTGGCAGATTTATATTTTGTCACTTTGGCTACAGTGGAAGTATGTTCCAGCATCCTAGTCCCTGACTGGTTCTGAGCTACCCCGTACTGTACGAGACAC